GCGCCACCAATTTCGCCCAATCGGAGATTGGGATCTCCTCTGACCAATAGAAACTTCGGGTGAAAATTAGTAAATGCGCCTAACAATCTCATAAAGATAATGGAGTTATTGTTATGTACTCGAGAAAATTCACACAATGTTTGATACTACTTCAAGTTTGATTTCACATGTACGTATTGCCTTATTTACGAAATCTAACACTCAAGTAGAGGATCCATATGAGGGAAAACTTGAGTCATTCAGATTTTCTCACAGAATAAAAGCAACAATGAAGTATCCTTATCGATAATGAACCGATTTGTAGAACCTTATTATTATCAACTTTCAGACAAAAGCGAACTGAAATAAATTTAAATCGGAGGGAAAGCGCGTAATTGCAAAGATTTATTTGAAGCCCATAATATACCTGAAAAGAAAGCATTTTGTATCCGCGAACTTCTAAAATGGCGACGGTCAATTGTGACAAAGGTAATTTTGATAGACGTGAATTGAAGAAGAAACTTTGATTGTATACTTTGATTGTATACTTCTCTATGCTGCAATATCTAATTCGTGATCATCTAAAGCTTCGAAAGAAGATGATACATGTATCAATTTTGACCGAAATAAGACGGGTAAATATTCGTATAGATATTAGTTTGTTGAATTGACAAAATTATTGCACCTTAGCCTAACAATAATTTTACAAATTTCTTTATAGAATTTGACCTTATCAAAAAATTAGGAAGCATTGATATCCACAAATACTTTACACTTACGGAAGAAATTAAAAAAGCGACTCAAGAAGTCCACAGTTTGCGTGAAAACAACAAAAATCTTCAACAAAGCATAAATCAATTTAAAGAACAAAATTGGTATATGCATTATTGTCATGCGAAGCAATCTTACGACACGAAGATGCAAGAATATTCAAAACTCCACGCAATTTACGATGAGCTTTTAAAAAACCACAATCAAATACGCTCCGTTTACGATCAATTGATTAAAGAAAACAAAGAGCTTAAGATCGTTGCAGAAAAAAACACCATAGAATTACAAAATAAGAAAGAAACTTGGGAACAAGATAACAAGAAGAATCAAGAAATAATCAAGAATTTGAATGTGGAGGTTGAATCTTTGAAATTAGAAGCGATTCAATATCAATCCGCTCTCGGCAATGCAATTAATGTTCGTTGGGACGATGAAGATCCGAACAATTCTGTTAATATTACCAAAGATATTCGTAAACTTCAAGATGCCTTATCTGATTTCACTTTTCTCAAGGGGAAAGCGTATGTTATCAACAAATACAATATCCAACAATTATTTAATATAATGAAGACGAGAGCTGACGTAGCTCATAAACCTTCAGTCAGTGCGGCCTTGCAACATTTGGCGGTCAAAAAAATCACAAAATATTACAGTGAACAGATGCAAGATAGAAACCGTATATATTATTCCAACGATAACAAAACCCTCGAAAAAAGGCTCGTTTCATGTGTGGATAATTTAGCTCAAATGGTTAAAGAGTTTACTGAGACTCGAGAAGGAAGTGATAACATCACTGGAATTACAGAAATCAAAGTCCGTCAAGAAATCTATGCTATGTTGGGGAATAGAGGCTTCGGATATAAAGGATGTCGATTTATATACGATTTAAAAAGAGGACTCCTTAAGACGTTGGATAATTATCGATCAATCAGCGATAAGAACATATCTAAAGAGCAAGAAGATCGTGCAGAAGAAATTGTACTTAGTGTTATCCGTATTTTCAGTTTTCGTCTTTTAACTCAAGAACCATCCGCTGCTTTTCGATGGTTCGAGAATGGAGAGCCTTTGAATGAAACGTTAATGGAATGGGTTTCAACAGGCGAAGATGAAACGAACATGGTTGTCGATATTTGTGCATTTCCAGCAATCGGAGTCTACCTCGATGATCCTACAAAATGGCAAATTTACACCAAAGCTAAAGTACAAATTTGCAACTCAACAAAAAAGCCATCAAACGTCCCTCAAGAAGGCATTATACATATGTGGAAAACTTATACCAATTACAGCATAAAATAGATTATTTTTCTTACATCAAGTACATGTATATGTATTTCTTATTTTCACAAAATGATTGATGATCTACGTATCTGCATGCGCGACATTATCGTTATAAATAAATACTGTTCTGTAGATAACTTCATAATCGTAGTTGATTAACAGAATGATACAATTTGATAACGATAACCCACATTCTTCGTCATTAGCTTTTTGTTGTGTTTGTAACGAAGAACCAGTATATTTAGACCCGGAAACCGGCGCACCAAGTGAATTTTGTTCACCACATTGTTATAAGGACGCCGTTCCGAAAAATATATTACCAGCTTGTGAATTTTGCGGAAAATTACCGAAAGCTTTATTCAAAAATGGGAAACGTGCCGCCATATGTAGTAAAATGTGTCAAGAAAAATTCCAAAAAGGCTTCGCTGTAACAGTGCCGAATATAACGATAAATGCACAAAACTTTGAAATGCCGAATTTTTTAAATTCTTCACTAACTTTACATCCGGAATCCGCAAAAGTAAATTTAAGTCGTCGTTCGTCGAACAGTTCACTTATGAGTTTGATGGCAAATGCTGCAATTACTGTTGGAGATTTAACATTACCAACGAGTGCAAGCAATGCGTTTCGAGACCTCTTACACGTTGAAGAAGCAGACACACCCGAAAACGCGAACAGCACCAATAACTTGGATAGACCATTATCTAACGAACAAGAAGTTTCTGAACTGCCCGATTTCGATGAGTCTTTTTACAAGGACCCGATCCGAGAATCGATGCAAGATTTTTCTTTTGCATCTGAGGAAGAATCAAACCACTACGAATCTCTCGATTGTATTAACGATCCACTTCATCCAGAAATCGAAATTTTTTGTGCAAATATTTTGACGGAAACAGAATTTTCTGATACGGAATTTGAGGGCGGCGAAACCGATGAATTTGTTGATGCCGAATTCGACAACAAACGATTCGATATGTGATCATTAGGTGGAAATTGTTGCTCGCTGAAATGTATTAATCCGGGTTACATATATATTTATAATGGATATAAAATTGAGAAAAACGGGGGGGGGGGGTTTCTTCTATACTTTTGTTATTTCACGTGTATTAGGTAAGCCTGCCCCTAATATCACGTGCAGTAAGCTAAATCCTTGACCTTTTTCTGAATAATAAAAAAGTTGTTATAAATTTATTGACTTTTTCTTTAGAGAAGGATTTAACATGCATATATGCAGATAAATACATGTATATAATATTTTTTAATGAGTTAACTCGAATCTTCGTGTAGATTCCACTTTCAATAACCTTGATAAAGTATGTTAACCTGCATTCGATAATACATTTATTATTGTTATGCTCTAAACATTAGTATTAGAATAACGATAAGATTTATGCGGAAAAACAAAAAAACATGCATAAATAAAGAATTTCTAATTTCGACCTCATACAAGAACATACCGATACGTAATCAGCAGTTTAAGGATAGCCACGCCACGTGTTTTAGTGTTCATGTAAACAATTTTGTAATGTTGATTCGAAAAGATACACAAATCATGGCAAAACTTTGAAACGTTTACCTCCTTGTCAATATTATCCAAATGTTTCGTTTCGTCGAGATCAAGTGCTTTCAATAGTGACAGTAATTGTTATTTTATCATGAGCGCTTAACTTTGATCAGTGATTGCTTATGCAAGTAACAAGAGAGAAAAGATTATCCAGGGGGCTTTTATTTATGATCGATAATTAACTTGCATATATACACGCAAATATGGAAACACAAAACAGCAGCGACGACAACAACAAAAAGAATGTTCAACAACCGAAATATCGCACAATGGACACGAGGAAATACGCCGAATATCCATACTTTTAAAGATCGAACTCAAGAATAGCGAGACCAGTTGTTGAAGATCCAGTTTCTTGTAAATGTAAAATGAATACATTAGGACACTGCAAATCGGCGTTACCACATTGCATAAAATTAATAAAAAGCCAAAAGAGTTAACAGCCATCGCTATAGATAGATTTTAGCGAATCGTTACTTATTTTCGTTTATAAAGAACGAGGAAATATCTCGTTGGCGCAAAAAAAGAGTATATTTAGACGAAGGCGGATAAATGGGTTATTTCTTTGACATTTAATAATAATATCGCAAAGATGAAGATGATGATTCATTTTGCTAGTAAAGGTTTAACACCGGATGGATTGATTTCACGTGTATATTTTGGCGTATGTGGTTCGTGCAAAACACATACGCCGAATCGTTGGAGAAAAATCGATAAGATTCTTTGATGAAAAAGTCGACGGCAAAAATGATGATTCGTGAATTTGATGAATCTCGAGTGTGTACGACACAAAACGGATAACCTTTACATTCACTATTTACTTGCCTAAAACAAAACAAAGATTACACAAACGCACTGTAAATGAAACAAGATTTAAACAATGTCAAATAGCTTTTTTCGAATAGAAAATACGTAATAACGATAGCGATATTTTCATTTTAATATTGATATTATCAATAAATCACCAATTATAATGAAGAGAAGTTTAATAATGGATTTACTCCGAATATATATATACACACCTTCCAAATTTATACGTGAAATATATTGTATAATATGGATAACAATAAAATCGGTTGAAACGTGGGGGACATGCTTCTCGTTTCCTTGCCCCAACAGATTTTCTTGATCACCAACACACACAAATTAATACATGTATATCCTGTTTTTTCGAGTGTGTGTGATCTGTCGTTGCTCACTTTTTTTGTTCCACGTTGTATTTTTATTTCGGCTGGCGAGCCGATTTTACCTTTTTCGCACCAGACTAAGATCAATTTGGGCGATGAAAAACGAAACGCGGGAATAGAAACCGGAAAAAATATACGTCTGCTAGTTTTCTCCGTCATTTTAGTTGGTCAAAAGATTAAGAATAAGCACCCACATATTTCCATAGAACACGCTAGAGTGAATGCGAACCATTTTTTCTCTATGATTTCATTCATCAAAAAAATCATCATTAAACAGCAAACAATAGTCTAGCATTTTCTTTTAATGCGGTTCACATAATGGTATATGCAGAATAGCATGCACGATTAATGCGAAACATTTTTGCTTGTTGGCCTTGTTTCGTTGATTGCGTCATACTGCATTAGCTTTAATAAATTTTTGGTTTAGACATATGTACGTATCTGTGATCAATACTTTATTTATAATAACGATAAATATTTGGTGTGTGAGTCTTGTGAGTCTTCCTTAACAAGGGAATACTCATCTGTGCGTTTTACTCTATATCTATTCCATTCAACATACATTAAATATACTTTATTCTCACCAAATATATATGCATACATATGATATATAGACACAATGAATGGAAAAAAAGAAGTACATGTATATATACGGCTCATCCAACCAACCCTCACAAAAAACATCTCACTTTCGCGTTTGATTATTATTAAATTTGTTTTTCTCTAAATTCAAAAATATACATACGCCCTTTAATTACTAATGCAAAAATGTCTACGGCAATAACTCAACGACCTGTCACCACCTCAAGTATGATTGGTGGGCAAATCCTCTCGCAAAAACAACGACGACAAGTCTCAAGGAAACAACAGCAACAGCAACGAAAGGGTTATGAATACAATAAAAATTCGCGAATTGCAGAGAAAAAACTTACGATAAATAACAACACTAACAATAATAAACATATTAATAATACCTTAATTGTATATAAAAATGACGGCGGTTTAATGACAAGTAATATTAACAGCAACAACAATAGTGGTAACAGCAACAACAATAGTGGTAACAGCAACAACAATAATGGTAACAGCAACAACAATAGTGGTAACAACAACAATAATAAGCAATTAACGAAAATACTCGAAAATTTAACGGCAAAAGCAAATGACGAAGAGGCGATTAATCGGATTATCAAAGAGGTGATATATTATTTATATGATTGCATCTTCACTTATTATAAATATTTTGTATTTTGAACTTATAATGAACTTTTTTTGCTCTAGATTAAAATTATAGGGAAATCTAATAGTTATCCGAATATCGTAAACTTTTATGTTGTCACTTCAGGTGTGTCTGAAAAATGTTTTTTTCGTTTTTACATAATTGCTTCGTGTAAGTTTTAGAGATTAACCTTGAATTTTTTATTACCTAATAGCGTTAAGCAAATGCCTGTTATTCCTGCAGAACACCGATTTGGGATCAATACCATTATATCTTAAAAACAACTTTGCGGAGCGATCGATTATCAACGAGAAAATTGCAGGAAAAATTACGGGTTTCAATAAATATGTATTAAGAAAAGACCAGATTAACAACAATACGGTAAGAATAATTAATATGAGATGAATTTTTGTGTTGTAAAGAGTGGATAATAACTTCAATGATAAACTTCAATAATAGAATACTACAAATTTTGTGACATCACGACGACGTTCACGTTTATTAAGTGAGAAGCCAAAAAATTTACACATCAAAGACAAACAACTGACGACAACTGAATCGTCACCGTTATCACAAAAAACTAAATCTGAAGAACAAGAACTCGAGCATCCTCTAGTAGAAGCCGTTTCCAAAATTATAATCGACGCGTTAAGCGAAACCGATAACTTTGGAAGAATCGGAGCTGAAGTCTATAAATATCTCGATAAATGCGACCAGGAGTCTCAAAATCTTTTTGATCTACTATTTGTCCAACAACAGAAGCCACGATGCTCAGCTTTGCTGGGTGTATGCGACCAGATTGGAATTGGAACCAGCCTCAATGAAAAACAAGCCTTCGAATCATATGAAAAAGCAGCGGAAGGTGGTGATGATTTAGGACAATATCTGCTAGCATTATGCTATTTTTACGGGCGTGGTATTCAACAAAACTTTGAAAAATCGTTTGATTGGTTTACAAAGTCAGCGGAGAGTGATAATGCTTTTGCACAATCTGCTCTTGGTTTATGCTACTTCAAGGGATGTGGCACCGTCAAAGACGACCGAAAAGCATTTTATTGGTATTCACAATCTTCGATAAACGGTAAACGAGTGACACGCTCACAAAATCTCGACGATGAACTAACAAGACTCAAAATCAATTCTCGATTTGGATTCGGTACAGCACGCGACCAAGAAAAAGTATTCTTTTTGCATCACCGTATGGCTCAAAAGGGTGACGTTGATGCTCAATGTGTTCTCGGATACATATATCAAAAGGGCGTTGGTATACCGCAAGATTTAGTGATCTCTTTCTACTGGTATAATAAATCGGCACAAGCGGGTAGCATATACGGACAATATAATCTCGCATGCTGTTATGAATATGGCCTGGGAATAGAGAAGAATGTGGAGCAAGCCATTCATTGGTATCAACAAGCTTTGAATAATGGATATGAGGATGCTTCGAAACCACTTGAAAGATTGTTGGCGCAGCAGGCCGCCTGCTGTGTTTTCTTGTAAATTGGTAAATATTTTTTCTGACTTGTTTTTCTACGTGATGGTTGGTTTCAAATCTAGTTTCTAATTTATTACTATTCTGTGTACTTTTTCATATTGATATTAATTATATTCGTCAAATTTGGACTGTTAATTTCAGATATCGAACTTCGTTAATCCGTATATCGGTATTATCCAAACTTTTCAATTCTGTTGATTAAGATAAACTTTATTCCTTAAATTACTTTTTTCATTGTTAATATTTAATACTTTCATATTTACCATCTCAACAAAAAGCACAAAAATACTAAACTCGCAATATTGTAAATTTTTCATATGCCAAATAAGTAGTCAAGCAGTTTATTTACCTTATACATACATGTAGAATTCAAAAAAAAAACTTACATAATCGGGACAGTCATAATACGTGACGAATTTGTCATTCCATACTTGGATGGTCATCTTAACGGTACTTGTTATACTTTCGACCCATACCATAATTCTTTGCTTGAACTAATACGTATTAGCGTAATACCTTGATCCGACCGTGGGACCTTGGGATTGGATATCAATGTTTTTTGAAGAGTTTCGGCAAGAGCGACCAACGAATAATAGTCTGGTCTTTATTTGCCCAATATAAAGCTTCATGCAAATCACGTAGAGTCCCGTGGCCCTTTTCGTGACAATTAAAAAACCCTTGAATTGCTCTCGAGTTGCCATTAAAATATGCTTTCGAGTACCAAAAAAATGCTCGGCGGAAATTCTGCTCACAATCCCACCCACCATAATAGTGATCCGCCAGAGTTCGCATTCCACACATGTGGCCTCCTGCTGCTGATTTTTCGAACCATTTAAATGCAGTTTTCCCATTTTTTGTAGTGCCGAGACCATCACGATAACAATAGCCTAACTAAAGAGACATATATTTAATATAAAAATATACATGTAAATATAAATATATATATATATATATATATATATAAATGAACAAATTAAAGAAAGAATGTAAAATTACTTGATTTTGCGCAAACGCGTCGTTGCTAGATTTAGCAGCATATTGATAGCTGGTAAATGCTATCAGACGGTTAAATTTGACACCAATACCGTAATGATAAAAAAGTCCCAGCATACATGCGTAAATAAGATCATCAGCCTTCTCACTAAGTAATTTAAATACTTTTTCTCGCGTTGTTTTTTTGGAATTGATCCATTCGTCGACAGCTTTTATTACGTTTTCATCCGACGAATATGGTCCAGGATCTTTTACGGTGTAAATTACCTCACGTAGTTCCTCAAGATCGGAATTTTCAATATCGTTTAGTTCTTCTTTCATGTTTGCGGATATTAGCATTTGGTATACGCCGTCGTTTAAATAATAAATAAATAAATAAATAAGTAAAAAACCCAAATGATGAATTGGTTTGGACGCAACACAGTATGAAACCTTTTGTTGCACAATAAAATTTATATATTTTTATTTATTCTTTGTTCAGCTAATTTTAAAGAATACAAGCATACCGTATACGTATCTGCTACGAAATCAGCTACTGAACTTTTATATGTATATTTCATTAGAGTATATATTGTGTGTATTTTTTGTTCCATATAGTAAAAACGATAGCGAGTGATAATGATAAATGAACATTCTAAAAATAATTCACTATCGTTATCAGCTATCGACCAGCCGATCCGATTTTTATATCGATCTTGTCTAACGCTAACTAATAATAGCAGACAATGGCCGATATGATCGGCAGGTAATTAAAATGTTGATTTCGTATTAAAATAAAAATCCTGATTTTATTTGCCATTACCAAACGCAGAACTGCCAAAATTTGTTTTGATATCGATATATTTAACAAAAAAATACTATCGCTATTATATAAAATAGGTTTTGTCCAAACAATGATCTTGCCTGGATATTTTTGACAGTTCTGCGTTTGGTAATAGCAAATAAAATCAGATTTTAAATTGGGAATTGCTAGACTTTTAAACATCAAGTATAAATTTACGGAGACTTTCAAAGGAGTGTATTTTTTTTAAAAAACTTTATTCATAAATTTTCTTTAGATTATCGACATTAATAGTTTATGTCTACAGTTTGGATAAATATTCGAGAATCTATACGATCACAGCTATTATGAAGCATAGGAAATTTGACCTCTATACAGTCACAACCTCTTAAGAATAACACTTTTTCTGGTCCCGAGAGCGCGATTATATAGAGGGACGACTGTATATATCTATTTGAATTTTCTCCATGAAAAAAATTGTAGATTAATTCTGATTTGGAACGAATTCCAGATAAATGGTATGTGTATGGAAAGTGTGTCCGGAGTTATACGAGATGCATAATGAATGCATCATGGATGCAAGAAGAAACACGTACGAAATAAAAATTACAGACGCACTTTTTTCATAGGGAATTCGAATTAAAAATAAATTCGCTTACTAATACTTGTGTATGCGATCATACTAATACATTCAGATCATTTAATAAATTGGATTATTTTTAGAGAATTATAGTTTATCGCATATGCGATATGTCGTTATGTCCCCCATTTACTAAGAGGGTAGGGTTAGGATTATGGCAAAAAAGTTTAAGGTTATTAAATTTGGGTCCTGCGATACATCGCCATGGCGATAAATTACAAACTCCTTATTTTTATTGCCATATAATTTGCATTGATACAAAAATGACTAGTAAAAAGTATTAGTTTGGAAAAAATAAAAGCATAATTATGTTTATAATTTCAATGTACAATAAACCTCTCTATGTGCACCCCCCTCGGGAACAGGCAGAGTGTGCATTTAGAGAGAGTGTGCATTTATAGAGAGTAAAATATATACACACCCCTACAGTATATTACTGGAAATTTAATGTCGATCATTCAATGAATCAAAGTTTTTATTATTAAATAAAAAATTATCATATTTATTAAACATACGATAAATTAAAGAAAAATAAAGTAGTGAATATACAGTTATATTGGTTTAAATTTAAGAATCTACAATTAATATAGCATGCTTTTGCCATTGGCTTCAATAACTTTGTCTATGTGTCTAGGTAGACTCAAAATTAACTCACGCAAAGTTTCCAAATCAATACTCATCCATTTCTCTTGTAACATACAAATTAATTCTTGCTTTGATGTAGGTAATGGTCTTCTTTTTCGAATCTGGTGGTCCAAAATATCCCACAGGTGTTCAATCAGATTGAGATCAGGGCTTTGATTAACCCAATCCAAAAGTCGAATGCTATGTGTTGACATCCATCAAGTCATATATATTGAGATGTGACATGATGCGTCATTTTGTTGAAACGTAACATGTGGATATTGGCGAGCCCAGAGTACAAAATAATTGGTGAGAATATTAACATAGATATTTGAATTTATAGTTTCTTCTACTGGCATCAAAGGACCAACCTCATTCCAACTGAAACATCCCCAAAACATTACTGATCCTTTGTCAAATTTAACAATAGGTTTAATGCATGCTTGGTGGTAAGCTTTACCAGGTTTCTACCATACTCTTACCTGGTCATCCGATTTGAAAAGTGCAAATCTGAACTCATTAGATCAGATTATATTTTTCCATTGCGCTTTCCAGTTATATTTCTCTCAGCACCAATTTAATCGATGAAGTTCTTGATTTGGAGTCAAAAGAGATTTTTTTTGGAGTGTAGCTTCCAAACCCTATTTCATCTAAGTATTTGCAGACGGTATTAGCATGATAAGAAGTGTTGAGTTTGCCATTTAGTTCATTTGTGATTTCACCAAGTGGAGAAAACTGATTTTTTAGAATAACTCATTTTAGTGTATGTTTTTCATGATTGGTTAGAGTTTTTGATCGACCAAAATATTTTTCAGGATGCGGAGAATTGATTTCTCTATATCATTTGATGGTATTATATACTGTTGCTTGAGAAATATTGAATTTAACTGCGAGATTTAGATCTTTGATGCCAACGAGATAAATGCTGTCACGAGTTCCGGGCTCAGGTAGATAATCTCGTGACGTAGGTGTTCAATCAACGTCTATTTCAATATTTTAATAATTTGATCCGGTTGCTTTTAGAATCGTGGTGCAGTGCAGCTTCTTCTATTCTATTAAATTAGAATAGGTAACACTACTACTAATAAATATCTCCTTTGTATTTACTTAGTGTGGTG